AAAAAATTGTGTTAAAACAAATAACATAAAAAATGCCATCTTAACCATTTTTTTTTTTTTTTTTAACAGATGGGGTCTCACTGTTGCCCAGGCTAGAGTGTAATGGCCTGATCATAACTCACTGCAGCCTCAAACTCCTGGGCTAAAGCAATCCTCCTAAGCAGATGTGGCTACAGTCACATGACACTGTACCCAGTTAATTAAAAAAAATGTTTTCAGAGACAGGGTCTTGCTATGTCACCCTGAACAGTCTTGAACTCCTGGTCTCAAGTGATCCTCCCACCATAGCCTCCCGAGTAGCTGGGACTATAGGCATGAGCCACCACACCCAGCACTGTACACCCAGTGTACAGTTTAGTAGTGTTAAGCATATCCACATACATTGTTGTGCAACCAAACTCTAGAATTTTTCATCTTGTAAAACTGCAACTCTATACCCATTAAACAACAACTCTGCGTTCTTTACAACCCCTGGCAACCACCAACCACCATTCTACTTCTGTTTTTATGAATCTGACTAGTCTAAGTGAAATCATACAGTATTTGTCTTTTTGTCACTGGCTTGTCTCACTTCACATAATGTTCTCAAGGTTCATCCATGTTGTAGCAAGTGTCAGAATTTCTTTCTTTTCTATGGCTGAATAATATTTTATTATATGTATATACCATATTTTGTTTATCCATTCACCTGCTGCTGAACACTTGGGTTGCTTCCATCTTTTGGCTATTATGAACAATGCCATCATGAACACTGCTGTACGATTCTCTCTTCAGACCCTGTTTTAAATTCTTTTGAAATATGAAGTAGTCTTGCCAAAAAAAAAACAAAACACAAACCCGAGTCTAATTAAGTAAGCTTCTAGGCCGGGCGCAGTGGCTCACGCCTATAATCCCAGCACTCTGGGAGGCCAAGGTGGGAGGATCGCTCGAGGTCAGGAGTTCGAGACCAGCCTGAACAAGAGCGAGACCCCGTCTCTACTAAAAATAGAAAGAAATTATCTGGACAACTAAAAATATA